TAAATTGAAGCTCAAAACTTTGCAACCCAATCACGTGGTCCTTTTTTTAATTAAAACTCAAAAGTTAACAGAATAATATCATTTAAATTTTGATTTAACAATAATAATAATTATTACAATATTCATAAATTTTTTAATTGCCTAATTTTTTTTATATGAACTAATAAATAAATTGATGATTATTTCGGTTTTTAAAATACATGTCTTATAGATATTGTTAAGTAATTATTGAAGTTTATTTGATGATTAAATTATAATTTTTCTTCAAAATATATTCCACGTACTTAAAATTTCACATTTCACTTAAATATGAATGCATATGAAGATGCGTTTATTTAATTTAAACGGGGTGAGTGACCTATTCGAATGAACCACTATAATTTTACCTAAAATGTTAAACCCGAAATAAAACATCCGAATTTTTCCACCCACCTTCCACCCCACGTCTTAAACTTTCCTGTCTTTCGATAATCCGTTATCTCCGTTAAACATTAAACATACCTATACGTCATTGGGTTAACAAGTTTCGAAACTCAAAAAAAAGTTAAATAAAATAAAAATGAATTGGTTGAAAAAGAAAAAAAGGAAAAAAATTGTTTCCGTATTAGACTGTTTTTCAACTCAGACACTTATAAAAATTTTGTTGATTTTTTTGTTAATTTAAATAAAATGTTTAAATTAATTTGTAATTAAATTGTAAAAGTTTGATCATACGTGCGTAGATTTTTGTTGACTATTTTGTCAATAAAGAATATGATTAATTAAAAACAATATAAAATATATATTAATAATTGTATGAAAAATATAAAAAAGAAAATAACACACGCGTGTATAATATTTAATTATTAAATTGAATTTAAAATCTAACGAGATAATCGATTATATATTTAGAGTAATGATTAAATATATATTTTGATGAATTTTGATTATTATACATATATATATATATATATATAAATGGGTGTGTCGTGTCAATTGGTTGTATTTTTCCAAAATTCTAATTACTCGCGAGATAATATATTTTTCTTTTTTTTTTTATATTGATCGAACGATAAAAGATTTCTTTTAAATTTGCTATCACTCGTGTTAACTGTTGTGTCCCCGTTGGTCTCAATTATATCAAAATTGTTTTGTCAAAATAGATGAAAATACAAATTTAAATGAACGACCATTGGGAAAAATTGAACTTGAACTTTCGAACGTGAAATGTTACGTAAAACTGGACGGTTTTTTAAACGGTAGTCGTACGAAAGTAAAATGAATCTAAAATTGCATCACGTACATATGCAGAAAGGTATAATTAAACAAATGTAAATGGTATCATGAGGTTTCTTATCACAAAACGATACCTCAAACATCGTTACGATTATTGAATTAATGATAATGACAGAGAAAAAAAAAGAGAAGTTGTTCGACTTCGTCAAAGAAATGTTGCATATTTGTCTATTAATTATTTCTTCGTAAAGGTAGAATTTCTATGAATCTTTATATTCAAAAAAGTTCGTTCAACTAATCAATCGTTCAATAGAAAAAAAAAAAAAAAAAGAAAAGAAAATTTCGAATCGTGAATACTGAATAATTAAAGAACGAAT